GTGCCATTCATCAAGACAATAGGATTATATCCCACTGCTCCCTGCCTTCTTATGTGGGGCAGTGTGTTGATTAAGTGGCCTCAGATAAAAGTGATAAGCCTTGGCTTTGTACATGTGGTGTTAAGTTTTCCAGTGCATGTAGCATGTAAGAGCTGTGGGGGCATGGTACTCCCACCTAGATTTCAAAGAATGCTATGGACTACCTGGGTGCCCATGCAGAGAGATTAGGGGCTGAACTGCTACAGAAAGTCCACACTAGGCCACAGTAGAGCTGTGAGAGTTGGCACTTTTCAAGATGTCCAAACCTTCTAGTATGTCTAGGAAGTAGCACATGGAGAAAAGTTAATATGAAGGTTAAAGGTTTAATATTGGGTCTAATACCCCTTCTTGCCTATTTCTCCCTTTTGGAATGAGAATGCCTAATCATATTGTATTTTGGAAGTAGATAACTTGTTTTGACTTCACAGGCTTACTACTGGAAGAAATTTGTCTCAGAATGAATCATGCCTTGAGTCTCGCCATGCCTGATTTAGAGGAGACTCTGGACTTTGAACTCTTGAGTTGACACTGAAACTTTTGAAGACTTTTGGAATAGCATGGATGTATTTTATATGTGAGTTTTTAGGGGGTATAGTATAGAATGCCATGGTTTGAATGTCCCCTCCAAAACTAATATTGAAATTTTGTTGCCATTGCATTAGTATTGAGAGGTGTAGGGCCTTTAAGAGGTGAACAGGCCATTAGGGCTCCACCCTTATGAATTAATTAATGTAATAATTGTGGGAGTTGGATATTTATCACAGGAGTGGATTCCTGATAAAAGGATGAATTTGCCCAATTTCCTGTTTTGAGTGTGCTCACTCCCTTCTACCATGTTGTGTGACTCAGTAGGAAGGCCTTCATAGTTGGTGGTGCTATGCTCTTGGACTTCCCTGCCTCCAGAACTGTGAGCCAAATATATTTATACATTGTTTCTGATTTATCCAGTCTGTGATAAGCTGATAAAACAGCAGGTAATGGACTAAGATATCTGGAATGCCAACAATCAGGGAAGAAACAGATGAAAGGACTTTTAAATGATTGGGTAGGGGGGAGGATAATTGCAAATACAAATATTTTGGTGGTAAATGTTAACTTAATTTTGTGGTATGCTTCTGTATCACAGAAGCTTCAGGTATTTTTATGAATTATTATTCTCTGAAGTAATTTCTGCAGCGAAGAAAAAAGATAATGAAATTCATTGAAGCAGAAGCAGTTATTGTATATAATGAACAGAAAGATGGAAAAGGGCATAAGATTTTATGTAACAGTGTTAGAGCCAAAAGTAACTTCTTTTTCTTTTATGTACAAAACTATACAGTTGTTCAGAAAACAGACTTGAATTTGTTTGTGTTATATTATCTCTTTGAATGCCTTTCACTGATCTAGTTTAGTGTTTTGGACATTTTGTTCCCATTTCATAGCATAGCAATATGGCGTTCTTTTTGAGGATGCATTGTCTGTTGTATTTCACTTTCATATTTCAAAAAGCTATTTTACTGAAAGATATATTGTAAAACTGTTTGTATATGGCCTTACACTCAATTCATTTTTCCCACAAGAAACTATTCCCAGTACCAGTTTAGATATTTCATAAAATCAGATAATTTCAAAGATTGTTGACAGTCTTCTGGCTGAAGTTGCCCACCTCAGAAAGGTATGAGTGACTGGATTTGTTCCTTTCTAAAGAAGCAGTTTTACTCACAGAGAAGAGAACTTAAGAATTTCTATAACTAATCTGGTAATTTTGCATGTGCAAATATAGATACAGATTGGAAATTGAAAAGGTGTGTGGGAGTTTTTTCTTCTTTAACGCTAATAAGTGCAAATAAAAACCTACAACAAAGAAAGTCTTAGTGTAACAGAGATACCTATTTGGCAGATACTCATATATAACAACTTTGTTATACCTTTGGCTGTTGATCACAAGTATTGATGAGCTTTATTATGTCAAAATCAAATGTGTTATACTAAAGTTGAATGCATTCTATATTTAATGTAGTGAAACCTGATACAGTGTAGAATAAAACTGTTTTTCCCTCTAGATGCAATAAAATCTGTTAAATGACAACATTTGGATAATAGGCATGTTTGCATGTCACCTTTTTCAGATAGGGAAGCTTTTTCTGTAAATCATCTTTTATTTAGAAGATACCATATAAATGTCCCCTTTGTATATATGTCAGATACTCAGTGTTTTACAGGAATAGGGTTGGTATTAGGGAAAAAAAATCCTTACCTATTAAATGTAATGTTTTACCAACTTAAAAAAATTTCAAGGGCTAAGAAGTTTTTAAGTAATAATGAAGATATTAAGACACTGAGGCATTTGGATTTAATTATCAGAGGTCTCAAGTTTTTAATACCTTAATCTTATAGATATATTTCAAAGAATTTTTAAAAATATTTTTTAGGTGTTGATGAACCTTTATTTTATTCATTTATTTATATGCAGTACTGAGAATCAAACCTAGTGCCTCACACGTGCTAGGCAAGCAGTCTACAACTGACCCACAACCCCAGCCCTCAAAAGAATTTTTAATGTATGAGATTGTCTAACTTACTTGGAGCCCTAGCTACCAGAAATTATCAGTCTCGTGCTGGTGGAGTTGTCCTACTTTCCAAAGTCATAATACCTTCAAATTTTAATTACTATAAAAGCCATGATATTCACATTTAAAATTTATATCTGATCATTTATCAAACTACCTAAACATACATATAGCATCAAAAGTCAGAAAATACCGTTTTTTCTCTGTTAAAGAAAAAGTGTAAGCTATTTCATCATCCTGGTAAAGCATGTTCCATGTTTAAAGTAACTTATTACATGTTTTGTAATTCATAAACCATTCTTTAGCATACTTTCTTACCCTTTCTCAATTTGTTTTATGCCCCTCACATTAATATTCTGTGAACATAGTTTTTAAGTATTGTTATAATGTATTCTGTTTGCATCCTGGAGTAACTTATTTGCATTTTCAGAAAGTTTGAGTAGAGTGTGGCATTTTGACAACCAGCAAGTTCATCAAAGTGATATGCTGCCAGTAGTCTCATGATAAACGATATGCTTACTCTGTTCCACATAACAGAGGCAGGGGTTGTGTATAGTTTACATTACAAGTGGAAAGAGTAGCTAACATCTACTATCTTACCTTTTGAGTTCCCTGAACTCTCATTTCCAGTGTATGAATCATTTAAAATTCACTTAAATTCAAATTGCTCACCACAACAATTAGGAAGAAGCAGCTGCTGTTAACAAAATATGTGGTACTGTAGTCTTCGTGTTAGTTGTGAAGAACCTAGTTTCTACACATAAGCTTGGCTAGCCAGTGATCTATATCTAAGAATGTGTGATATTTAAAGAAAAGATGCCAAGGTATTGCTTAGGAATGTTACCTGTATTACATAGGGCTAGAACAGATTTCCATTCAGGGGCTGTCTAAATGTCAGTTTAATTACTCAGTTTTGCTTTATTTCTATTCTAGACTTATTTGTAGAGTTCCTGTTATGTGCCAAGCTCTTGACTGAAATAACGAATGAAAACCTTAGAAGATTTTTCTGTCCCAGATTTTGGTTGTTTACCTTTGAATTAGCCATTCTTTAAAACTTTACTTCCAGTCGTTCTTATTACTTATAGAATCTTGTTGTAAGAATGAAACAGAAAAAGACTGTGTGTCTTAGATTTTACTTTTAAACAGGCAGGTGACAGGATGCCGAAACCAGCGGCTTGAATGAAATTTAGGCTTCTTATATGGTTTTTAATTTTCTGTGGCATTTCTGTTGGCATTGCCACTTGATTATTATAAGGAACTATGTTTACTGGTTTTGTGTTAGTAGCATCTGTTCTTTTGGAATCCAGACTTTGAAAAACTCATTTCACAGAATCATTGAATAGCCAGTTCCTGTTCTCTCTTACTTGGAATTTTTTCAGGGGATTTCAGGTGGCAGAATAAGAAGAAAAGCCATTTCGAGTGACTCTTCTGTTACATTTGTATCCCTTCCCCTTGGATTCCTAGAGATAAACTCTTTACCTTCTCTTCCTGCTAATTGACAGCAGCACCCTGGAATTACTATCATCCCTTTGTCCAAAGAAATGGTGTAGCTGAATTCAAAGACTTATAAAATGTTATGTCCTATTTCAGCTTATAAAAATACCTTTTTTCTTTATTAAGCCAAAATGTTTTGAATAAATAACAGGAAAAATCAAGTAATGGAAAGATTTCAAGAACACTTAGCACTAAAATTTTGGTCTAAATATAAAATCCTTTTTTCCCTTTTTAATCACATTTTTAAAATAAAATATTGAAGAAAGTATAAAGTGGAAAAAATGTAAAGAATAGTTAACATCAAACATTGCATTCAGTTGTAAATTTATATAATACAGATTTATATTTATTTTCTAGTAAAATAAAACTTACATGTTTACATGATTTTACACTTACTACAGATTGAATTTAAAAATGAAAGTTGAGCTTTTTTTTTGCCTTTGACTTGCCATGAAAATTGATTTTTATTACATTATTTATGTTCCCTTGCTCAGTTTTTTACAGCATGTGAGACCTACTTAAATGGAGCAGATTGTAATCAAATGCAAACAATTTAATGATCTTCTATAAAACGTTAAAATTTTCCTGGAGTTAAGAAAAATTTAACCAGATGTTATGATTACATTTGATCACGAGAATTTTATGGTAATTATTGACCAACTTCGTAGTTTCCAGTTATTTACTTATATTTTATCAGTTCTAATTTGAAATGGTAAAGTATTATTTGAAAAAAGGAATACAAGACAAAAAGAGAGCATTACTGCTGTTAGAGATTCAGCTACAAGTTAGTGCATGCCTCGGAAAATAAATACAAACTTTTTCTAACTTGATTTTGGTGGTCTGACCTCTCTAAAAATATGTATGTATATTTCATAATAAATAAAGAATTTAAGTCTTTCTCTTCCCTTTTTTTAGCCTTAGATTGTAAACAAAAGAAATCAAGGTCAAGATCTGGAAGCAAAAAGAAAATGTTAACATTACCTCATGGTGCTGACGAGGTTTACATTCTCCGATGCAGGTATATACTTATATTGCCATATCTACTCTGTTTCTTCAGCTGTTTTATTTGGGATTTTTAATTGGTGTTAAGGTACATTCAACAATCAAGTTATAAGTGAACTTCTAAATCATTTTATACCTTAGCCAAGAGCCTCCATTATACTGTGATTTGTAAAAGTGACTTTTTAATTGTTGTGGTTTTTAAATTTGGTTTGTTTAGTTTGGTTCAGTTTCAGTTTTTACTGTCATAAGTTCCTGATTATTAGGAACACATTTTACTTTCCCCTCATACAATACCTCCTTTCATATACTCACATAAGAAAGAATTCTGAATTGAGGATGGGTCTTCAGAGAATGGCACATTTTGGAGTGATAATTGTAAATTACTTAAGATTTGTAGGGTTTTTTTTAACTTATTATAACTCTTAATAAAAACATAGGAATTAGGAGTTTCAGTATCATTAAATCATCTCAACTTCATTTAGATACTATCAGGGTGCTATATGTAGTATATAGTAAGGTTTGTTCCTTAAATGTTTTATGGATTTTATGTAAGTTGACTTTAAATAAAAGGAATTGGTTAAGAGAACTTTTATCAACTTCTGTAGGTTTTGTGGCCTAGTCTTTCGAGGACCATTGTCTGTTCAAGAAGACTGGATTAAGCACTTACAACGACACATTGTAAACGCTAATCTTCCACGGACTGGAGCTGGCATGGTGGAAGTCACGTCACTACTTAAAAAGCCTGCTTCCATTACAGAAACTTCATTTTCTTTACTAATGGCAGAAGCAGCTTCATAGAACCAGGAAACCTTTTAAATAGCAAATTTGAATTGGATGTAAATTTTAAATTCTTTTTTTTTTTGTAAACCACAATAAATTATCCGTTTATAAATACTAAAGCAGGAAAATGGGGAAAGTGAATTTACAGTGACATCAGAGCAAATTGAACACTTAAAAACAGTAAGTAGTCTATATATTTTATATAGAGTGGAAGATGTGTTTTTAAGATTTACTAAGTTTTGTTGGTTAACTATGTTCACTCAATAAAAGACCTTACATGTAAGCAGCCATTTATAAATGTTGCACATGGATACATATAGACAGACTTATTGGAAAATTATGTTTTCTGCAGTGTTACCAGAATCAAGGCTCTGTTTATTCCCCACAAGACTTGCATAGAAATATAAGATATTATATTTTGTTTGTATGTATTTAGTGTTTTGTATAATACCAGGAACTTGCTAACTAAATTTACTCAACTTAGGGCATTAAATATCATGTACTTCATAGTTTGAGACTGTTCACTCAAATAGGGCAGAGTACTATTCTATCTAGATGTGTAAGTGTTTTTTTAAAATCACATGGAACGGTTTTTTTTATACTAAAAAGTGGAGGGAGATTTGTTTAAACAAGTATTTCTAAAAGAAATATGTACATAGTCCTGGAAATTATTTGTGGTAAGGAAATATTCTTTACTCCAGTTGCATTTCTCAGACAATAAAGTGGTGCATCCATGCTACCTCCTACTTTGTCAACAAAGATGCTATTTACCCTTTACATTTTTGTATCATAATAGATTTTAAAAATCTAATGTTCTTTATTGCAAGACATCCTTTTGTTAACAGATTTGTTTCTTTTTAGTGTTCTACCTAAAATTTGACATGCTTACAGGACAGGTTTGCCTCTTACTTTATTTAACATTGTAGAAATGTAATAAACGATGCTCACTACACAATTTAGAATAGGCTTTCTCATTTATATTATCTTCCAAATTTGATCAGTTAGCAAAACTTAATACACCAATTAAAATATTTCTTCATATGATGAGAATGTTTACAATTTAAATTTTAGAACTTGTTTTGGATGTGATTATATGTATGAAAATTGTGTAACACTATGCTCATGCTAAGAACCGACATAACGGAATTACTGAAATAAATGTGCTGTGAGGAATGGAAAATATGGTGCAGGTGTCTTGGTCATGATAAATTGTGATTATTCTTTTCAACTATTTCCAAAAACAAGTTAGTTCTTTTAATTTGAAATTAGATTCCTTTACAAATAACAGTTTTTGTATGCAGGCACCATTTCATTTAATTTCATGTAGTTTGGCTAATATTATAGTTGAACCAAGGATATGCATTGATACTTTTCTTTATGTGTAAATAAAGTTAAAAACAGTTAAAATAAGGAGTATTTTGGTAGAGTGTATACATACCTCACTGCCAGTGAAATTGCTTTCCTATGGTATATCTCCTTACCAGAAAAATCTCTAAATAAAAAAAGACTTAAAGAAAATTATAATGTCTATAATGTGAAGCATTTCTTATTTAATTTCTTATTGGTGAAAATAGTCCACTTGAGGTTGTGTTTCCCTGATTTAAATTATTTATGTGTATTGGGTTACTTTGTTCACAGAATATAGTTTTGCTAGAAACATTGCATAGATTAACATATGAGGAAGATAATTTTCTCCCTTTAATGATAAATTAAACCTTTTAAACTAGGAACATGTTATAGGTGAACTTAGAACATTGGGTTGGTTGGCTGGATTGTCCCACCAAGGGTCTCCTGATCTCTAGGGTCCTAGATAAGGGAAAAGTACTTGCAAGTTGTTTTCAGTTTTTCAAAAGGCCTGATAGATTCTTTACTTTTGACTAAAAATATACCAAGTCTTGGTGTATCGTTTATCTCTTATTGTGCAAAATTCTTTGATGGTTATTTCTTTCTCCATATTAAAAAAAAATGTGTGTGTATATATATACCTGTATAGACATATCTGTATATGTATCCACACACACATACATACATGTACTTTTTAAAAATATGTTTTTAGTTGTAGATGGACACAATATTTATTTTTTATGTGGTGCTGAGGCAAGTGCTCTGCCACTGAGCTACAACCCCAGCCTACGTACATACAATTTTTTTTTTTTTTTTGAGATAGGGTAGTCTTGCAGAGTTGCCTAGATTCACTTTGAATTCATAATCCTACTGCTTCAGCCTTCCCCAGTAGTTGGGACCACAGGCATGGGCCATAGCACCTGACACACACACACACACACACACACACACACTCACTCTCTCTCTCTCTCTCTCTCTCCCCCCTCCCCCTCTCTCTTTCTCATATATATATATTTTTTTTTAATTGTAAGATTTACTACAGGCAAATAAAATTTGGAAGTGAAAACAAAACATAGGATTTCTAATGGGAAAATTAGCAATTTCTAGAACCCCTTTTAGCTCTTATTCTTAAAAGTTTTCTGATTTTTGTCTTATCGAGGTAATTATCAAAATATATGGGGCTGGGGTTGTGGCTCAGCGGTAAAGCACTCGCCTCGCATGTGTGAGGCCCTGGGTTCAATCCTCAGCACCACATAAAATAAAATAAAAGATATTATATCCATATATAACTAAAAGAATAAATATTTTTAAAAAAGATATGGATACAAGTAGAAGAATTAGACCACAAGTTTCATAATTAAACCTATGTTAAATTTCTTGAATATTGAACAATATTTTAAATAATTATTTCTACTTCTAAATATAAAAAGAAATCAATCATGAAAATAGAATAATAATTCAGGGGCTGGGGATGTGGCTCAAGCGGTAGTGCGCTCGGCCCGGGTTTGATCCTCAGCACCACATACAAAGATGTTGTGTCCGCCAAAAACTAAAAAATAAATATTAAAAAATTCTCTCTCTCTCTCTCTCTCTCTCTCTCTCTCTCTCTCTCAAAAAAAGGAATAATAATTCAGGTGAGGTGTTGTTGTGTATGCCTGTAATCCCAGCTGCTTAGGAAGCAATAGCTCAGTGTTCAGTGTCCAATACCACATCTAAGAAGAATTTAAATTAAAAACAATTGGGGAGCTGGGGTTGTGGTGTGGCTCCGTAGAGCGCTCACCCAACATATGCAAGGTGCTAGGTTCAATCCTGAGCACCACATAAAAATAAACAAATAAAATAAAGTTATTGTGTCCAAATAAAAATTTTAAAATAAAATTTATTTAAAATATTTTTTTAAATAAAAACAAAGTTCAACAAAGCATATTTTTTTATAGTAAAGATATTTGGATTCAGATTTTTCTACTGGTGAATTTAGGCAATTTCAACAAATACTTTAAGGAACTTTTAGACAATGTTTACTTTCATTTATAACATTTTATAAATATTTTAAACTACATTTATTAATTCACAATTAGTTCATATTTCAATAACCTCAGTTCTCTTATTTAAACTGTTCTCAGTGGCCAGGAATGCTGCTCAGTGGTAGAGTGCTTGGGTGGTAGAGTGCATGAGACCCTGGGTTCCATTCCCAGTCCATCCTCAAAATCAAAAAATTAAAAAAAAAACTGGAAAAATTATTTTTTCCAAATATAAAAAATTAAACCTGAAAAATATGGAGAAACTTGAATATTCTTGAATACTTTAGTATTTCATATAATTTAGTAAATGTCTAGTTAAAAATCACAACTCAAAGTTGATTATGCAGTTACTAAATTTAGAAGGCTGAACTGTTAATCTAATAGGTCAAATAATTTTTAGGTATGTACAGATTGCCTCTTGCCAAATTTGTTTTTCTGAAAGATGAAGTACATTAAAGTACTGTATTAAAAAGTACTTTATTTACAAGGACAAGATGTAAAACATTGCCAGCACCCCCAACTAAACTCTTCATCTCACCCTTTCTTTTTTGTGTGTTTGTGTGGCAGTGCTGAGGGTCAAATCCAGGTTCTTATGAATGCTGAACTATATCTCTAGCCCAATTCTGACTTTTAAAATAATCATTTATATATTCTTTTTTTAAAGAGTTTGACTTCTTATGACTACATGTACTTTTATTTTTACTTGGTGTATTTTATAGAAATGGAATCATGTTTTCTTTTGTGTCTTGGAGTTTTTGCTTAGTGTTGTCCTTGAAGTTCATTTCTGTTGTTCTATTAGCTATAGTGTATTTTCATTATTGTATGTTACTGCATTATAGTGTGACCATTTAATTATCCATTTTTATTATTCATAAGTATTTAGGTTTTGAGTTATGGCATTAAATGCTATGGAGCTCTAAATATTCTTACATTTCTGCTGATAAACGCCATTGCAGTTTTCTCTAGGCTCCATGCCAAGGAATGGGGATTTTGGGTCATAGAGTATATGCTTCAAAGAGAAAACAAAACTCAAAAGATCACACATGTTTATATTTCCACAGGAGTGTATAAGAGGCCTTGTTCCTCCAGATCCTCACTAATAACATGGTCTAATTTAAAAATTTTTGCTAGTGGTGTAAGTGGCATTTCATTGTGAATTTAATTTACATTTCCCTAGGTTTTGTCTTTTCTTATGTTTATTGCCTACTTGGATTTCCTCTTTGAGAAATGCCTTCACAAATTGTCCCCCCCCTTTTTTTTTCTTTTTTCTTTTGGGATATCTGTCTTTGTTCATATTAACTGTAGGAATTCCACTAATCCTTAAATTGTATGTGTTGCAGTTATCTTCTACTTTGTTGTTTTATTTTGCATTTGTTTTATGGTTACTTTTGATGAATAATCCTTAATTTTAATGTAATCAATTCCATCCTTTTAAGTTTCTTAGGTCTTTTGTGGCAAATGTTCTTGGCTTTTGTTTGTCTGAGGAGGCCTTTATTCACTTAATTCTTGAATAATATTTTATGAGTGTGGAATTCTAGATTTGCATTTATTTTCTCCCCACATGTTGAAGCTTTATTCCACCATTTTCTGCTTTGTTTCTGCTTTACTTGTCACTAATGTCCATTGTCTATATTTCCTGGCTGATTTTCTTTTTTATCTAATTTTCTGAAATTTTTACTATAATACTTCAATCTATGTGTAGGGATTTTTATTGTCAAGTTTGGAGTCTCTTTTGGATTCTGGAAGAAAGTCAATATCTCTATAATTTTTCTGCCTCGTTTCTCTCGTTCTTTTGGTACTCCAATTTTAAATTATTCTCGCTGCCTTCACTAGATTTTTATTTATTTACCTTCTCTGTTTTCTCTTTTACTCTTAATGCTATATTCTAGTCTCTTTTGATTTACCTTCCACTTTAATTTTCTCAGCCACTAGTGTCAGGTCTAGAATTTTATTTAGTACTTCTTCAGATATACTTTTTTGTTGTTTCTAGTACCCAGGTTTGGCTTTTTTTTTCCCCCTTTGAATATGGTTCACATTGTATTTCACATCTAATAATTCTGGAATTTAAAAATATTATAGATCTGGTTCTTTTGATGCTTTTTCATCTTGTTCATGGTATCATGTTTCTTTTTGCCCAGATGTTTGTATGCTGAACATTATATTTGAAAACTTTGGCTATTAGTTTAGAATACCTTAATCCAAGTTTAAGTTTTGAGTTTACTGGCCTAATCAGATGATCTAAAGTTAGCAAGAGCTAGATCTGGGAAAGGCTGGTTTATATCTAGTTTACCTTTTGCCATCAAAATGCAATCTGATTTCACAGCTATTTCTTTCACATAGGACTTGCCCACAGGGCAAAATAAAAGGTTGCACTACTAGGATGGCCTTCACTGGATTTCTTTTCTTTTAGGTTTTTGACTCAATTTTTCATTATGTTGTTAACTTTTTGTGCTTATATGAAATAATATTATTAATCGAGAATTTTAAGAAATATATGCACAGATTCTTTTGAGAATGGGTTTCTACATGTTTTATTCACTTCTGTTTTCCTAGAAGAGTCTTGATAATAATAGATATATCCAGTGACATATAAAATAGATGAGCTACTTTAAAACAAAATTATGTGGGGGTACAAAATCCATCTTTTCCCCTATTTTTCTTAAAAAATACATTTTGGCTATTATTTTGCATTTTTTCTCTTATGTGTTTTTAAGCTCACCCAATTCCTTGGGAATGTTATTAAAATTTGTGAAAAATGGGAAAATGTAGGTCTTTTTTTTAGAAACATTGTTTTTTATTTATTTTGTATATGCTACAGGAAAATCTTAGTTTTCTTTATAGAGAACCGCAGATTGCTCTTAGAATTTGTGTTTTAGTTTTGTTGCCATTGTGAATGAATTTTTTCTAATGCAGTAGTGGTAAAGGAAAGGAAAACTGTTGGTTCTGTTGTATCAGCCTTATTTATAGTCTTTTTGCCTTAGTAAGTTCTCTTATGATAATATTTTTTCACTTATTTCATGAAATTTTCAGGGAGCCAGTCATCTGAAAATTTTGACATGTATGTCTTGCTTTATAATATTTATTCCTGTTTTTTTCTTATTTATATTTTATCAAGGTGATAACTGTAATACCTCTATTGCTCCTGAGTGTATAGATGATACTT